TATATATAATATATATATGTGTACGTGTAAATTTATAATAAAATTTAATTTTATACGTATATATTCATTTTATGTCAAAATTCCGTATAATACGCAAAAACAAATTTTACGCAAGAGAATTGGCAGAGAAAAAAATATATTCAATTCGAGGTTCACAGCTAAGACGCGTTGCACAAAAACCAATACGTATCCGCGTGCCGGCCATGATGGATTGTTGGAGCTATGGGAAACTATCTGTCAAGCACAATATCGACCCTCGTTCTCTCTGTCCAACCCCTGCAAACTCAGGGTTCACTCTCGTTGCCGCCGTCCCTCCTGGGGGTGCGTTCTGCAATGTAGGTTTACCTACACATTGCCATACAAACCTTTCTCAGCCCCCTGTTTCCATCCTCTTCCCCCTCTTTTTCCGTTTTCGCCTAAATCTTCGACCATTTCGCGAACAACCTATCTCCTCTTTTATAGATTTTGTTTGCCTGAAAATCCACTCTAATGCAGTATCTAAAAAAAATATTTAAATTTTTAAGAAAACATAAAAACTTAAAAAAGAAAATATAATTTGTATGCACATATAAATATTTATTCATTTTTTTATATGTACACATATTTATCATTCATTATAAAAAATAAATATAAACAGAATTATGTTAACAGAAATTCTTATCCTAAATATTAACAGAAAATTAATCATTTATCATTTAATTTTTCTCTTAAACTTAATTATTATTTAAAAAAATATAATCTTTACACATTTTTTAGTTTTACAAAGTATGCATACTCTTTAATCAATAAATAATATACACTTTTTATTTTGTTTTAATAATGTATTATGTAATAAACGTACATACATACTTATTAATTACAATATTATTAATAAACACTGCAGGCACAATATATACAACTGTGTGTAATTTTACGAAATGGATTAAAAAGATACATTATTTATGAGCGACGATATAACATCGTATCAATCACAATTATAATATGAACTACTTCAAATAATTATAAATTAGTTTTCAAATAAAGGATATTTTTATATTCTAAACAATATTTGAATATTTATGAACTTTCTTTAGCATTCTTTTAAGCTATTATAAAATACGTTTAGTATATTAAATTTGTTAACCCAGTAAGAATTATAATCCAAAAATTCTTTGTGACTTTTGCAATTATATTAAAAATATACAATAATAAATAAATAAATTTATTTTAAAATTTATTTTAAATTTGTCCGGTATGTACGAAACATAAATTGTAATTACATAAAATTATTATCTAAGAATATTAAATTAAATTTATAACAAAAAATTTAATATCATACAAATACGTCAATATAAATTAAAATGAATTGTAAATATAAAATTAATTATGTTAACTCTTTTTATAGACATCTTTAAATTATGAAACAAAAAAGAAAGTGAAATGTATTTATAATAGGTACATCCAGTGTAAACATATAAATTAAGCTAGAATACAACACATTTATTATATTTCTTTGAAGATTCTAAACGCTTTGTTATAAATTTAATTGTATACTCTGAACAATTTTATGTGACTATAATTTATGTTCTATATTCACAAGATTAAAAAATTAATTTATTCAGCATAATTTACAACTTAAAAGAATATCAAAGAGAGTATAAAAAATTCTATGACATTCTAATTTCATTTAAATAAATAGGTACTTTTGTTAATTTAGAATTCAATTTACAATTATTCAAAATAAGTATAAATACCTATTTAATTTGAAAAATATAAGCTATGATATAAAATGTAAGCTATGGTTACAATTTTAATTACAATCACAATTTTATTTTAAGTTTTCGCAATATTATTTATCTATTTTAAATGATTTGCAATAGTTGCACAATGCATCAATAGAATTTGAAAGCTTTTTGCATTTTTGAAAATAACCTGTATCAAATTAATTTATTAATATTTTTATGACGTAACACGGATACGAAAGTCTCATTGAAAAAACTTTTTTTTCATAATTAGATCAAAGTAAATAAAATTTAATACACACTATCAACTTGTAATCAATAAACTGATGGAAATTTATCGTAAATATTATTTACTTGCAATACTTGTGTCCATTTTCCGAAAATATTGTACGTTGAAATTGAAGAGAAAAAATTCTTGCACGAAAAAACACTTAAAACATTAAAAAATAAGAGTAAAAGGAGCACACTCGTTCACGCACGCTTATGCTTTCAACCATCTTGTTTCATGTGAACAGCGCAGCTGCACACATACCTATCTTCTCCCCACTCTATCTAGTCATCCCCTAAATTCTAACATTTTAAGCTTACCGAATATCTATTATGTTAATATTGCTTATAATATGCATGTATACATAAATGCTAATATTAAAAAAATATATGTGTGTGTTTACATAAATGCAATTTTTTAATTTTAAATTTTCTTTTTTCTTTTTTCGTTAAATAATATTGTTGGATAAAGAATGTCAATTTTGTATCTATTATATTTGAAGTATTTTATATGCATATGTATAAATATATATAATACATATTTTTAAAAATATTTTAAGTATTATACAATACAATGATG